GCCCGGCTGGTGACCCCGAGAGCCCTCGGCCCGGCTGGTGACCCTGGCCCCTGCACTCCCCCAGCCTGCTGCAGACCCTCAGCACCCAGTGCAGGCAGGCGCCCGAGCAGACCCAGGACAGCCAGCCCTGGACCTACCGCCTGGTCCGGTTTGCAGACTCGCTGCTGAACCACAGCCGGAACGTGGCCGCCCTGACGCCCTTCACGGCGCAGCAGCGCCAGGCCTGGGACCGGTGAGGGGGTGGGGTTTCCCGGGGTGCCGGTGGGATGCCCTGGGGTCCGGAGGGCAGCGGCCTGAGAGCGTGCCCGGCTCCCCCCAGGATGCTGCAGAGTGTGCGGGAACTGGAGGCCACCTCCTCGGGGGCCGGGGCCAAGGCCGCCGCCTTCCAGCACCTGCTTCTCCTGGTGGGCATCTACCTCTTCAAGGTATGGCACTTGGGGTCTGGGGCACCACAGCTTTCCTCCCGACGGGCCTGGGGGCGGGGGGTGGAGGGTGCTCTGGGTGGACCACAGCCCGAGAACAGTCGCTCCGTGCACCTCATGGCCAGTTGTGTCCTGAGCTCTCCGTGCGGCGTCTCTGATCTGTGACCCCCCCCCCCCCCCCCCCCCCCCCCGCCGACTAGTGGGGCAAGTAGCGCTCAGGCCACACACACAGCTGTCGGCGGGGGTTCAGATACCAGGTCTGACCGCACGGCCCCCCCAGGCCCCCCAGCATTACCTTACTGAGCAGAGGTGGTGGGCGTGGAGGGGAAAGTGCCTCCTTCCCAGGAGGGCCCGACTCTGGGCAGGCCTGTCCCCAGGGGCGCTGCTGTCCTCTCTGATGCCCGAGGACAAGGTCCCGCCTGTGCTCCTGCAGCCTCTCCCGCGGGAATCCAGGGCGGCCGGTGGGGTTAGCGTGTGTTCCTGTCGCCGCCCAGCCCGCGGTCGTGTGCCGCGTCGCTGTGTCCCCACGTTGGTTCTCGTACTCCAGACCGAGGTGTCTCTATATCCGGTGTTGTCTCCCTTTCTGTGCCGGCAACTCATGACCCTCCTGCTTCCTCTGGTTTCTCGGAAGCTTTTTCTTCCCAGGCCACGGGGTGGGGTCGGGGTTCCTGCCTCTGGCTGCTGGGCTGTGGTGGTGGTTTCTGCTTCCAGGCTGCAGACGCTCTGAGCGTGGCCCGTAGGCGAGTTGTGTGTGTGCGTGGTGGCCACGGTGCCCCTCAAATGCGTGGCAGCGGGGGCCCCCCCTCCCCCGCTGGTTACGGGACACACTAGACGCCTGCCCAACCCCAGGGCCTCTTAGCTGGACGAGGAGTGAGGTGCATAAAGGGCCGGGTGTTGGGCTCTCGTCTGCCTTTCTGGTACCACAGTCACACTGACCATCTCGGGCCCCCCCAACTCCCTGGGCAGTGGCTGCAGTCTGGGCTTAGCCGGGCAGGTGGGGCTAAACTGGATTTGAATTCGCTCGGATTGATGAATTTGGGTACTTTGTAACAGTGTGGAGGTAGGCGCGGGAGGAAAATCTAGCTTTGGGGATCCAGCTGGGACAGGTTTGTGGTGACCCTGAGCTGGCTGACCTCGTCAGACTCCATGGCTTCACGTGGCTCCCGGGGTCCCGGCGAGGGACTGGCTGAGGCAGGCTGGGGGTCCCATCCGACACCAACTGCTCCCGCTTGACCAGCCCCTCCCCTGGCTCAACAAGGCCTGGAACGGGCCGGTTTCTGATTCCGTCCTCGCCCTACCACAGTCCCCCACGGAGAGCTGCGACCTCTTGGGTGACATCCAGACGTGCATCGAGAAGAGCCTGGGGGAGAAGACCCGCAGGACCCGCTCCAAGGCCACCAGTGGGTCACTGTCCCCGGGGCACGGGACGGGGCATGAACCACGAAGGGGGGTGGGGGGGTGGCGGGGCCGGCCCAGGCTCAGCCTGTCCCGTCTGCAGACCCCCAGGAGCCGCCGTGGGTGGAGGTGCTGGTGGAGATCCTGCTGGCCCTCCTGGCCCAGCCCAGCCACCTGATGCGCCAGGTGGCCCGCAGTGTGTTCGGCCACATCTGTTCCCACCTGACCCCACGTGCCCTGCAGCTAATCTTGGATGTAAGTTGGGGCCTCTGGGCGAATGGGTCCCGGGATGGGGCCTTGTAAGCACCGGGCTGCATCTCGGCTGCCTTTCTGTCCCGTCGGTGTCACTGTAACGTGTTCAGACCGCTACTGCACGAGGCCGTTCCCTGGGGTGCGCCGAGGGCTCCTGGGTGTGGGTGCTGGGCGCGTGGCCTTCTCTCTCGGGCCCCATTTTCCTTCCCGAAATAGGGATCTTTTGGCCCAGACCACACAGGGTGTGGTTGGAGGTCTGGGGAGGGTAAAGGCTCTGCGACGGGGCGGCCGTCTGGGAATCCCTGCAGGTGCTGAACCCCGAGAAGAATGCGGACGAGGACAGCGTGGTGGTCACGGACGGCTCAGAGGAGCAGCTGGAGGGCGCAGAGGTGCGTGCCAGCGTGGGGCCGGGTGGGGCGGGCGGATGTGTAGACGCACGTGGAAGACCGGAGGTACAGCACAGTGGCCCCTGCAGGACAGGAGCTCTGACGGCGAGGACGACAGGGCCTCGGCCGGCGAAGAGGACAGTGGCGAGGACAGCGACGACAGTGAGGAGGAGGACCGCGATGCGGACGTGGACCAGGGCTTCCGGGAGCAGCTGATGGCGGTGCTGCGGGCGGGAAAGGCGCTGGTGAGCGGCGGGGCGGGGGGGGGG